AAACGCGGGGCCGGGCCGGCGCGGAGCGCGGGCGTCTGTCAGGGGCGCGCGCGGGCCGGCGCGAGCAGCTGGGCTCGGTGCAGGCAGCCAGGCGGCGCTCCTGCGGGTCCCGAGCGCGCGGCTAGCCGGGCCCAGCGCCCAGCCCCGCGGGCGGCGGCGGGCGAGCGGGCGCTGGAGTAGGAGCAGGAGAGCGGCGCGGCCGGGGAAGGAAGCCGGGGCGAGGCGAGGAGGTGGCGGGAGGAGGAGACAGCAGGGACAGGTGTCAGCTAAAGGAGGGCTCTCCTCGGCTGCCGAGGCATCATGGCCGCTAAGTCAGACGGGAGGCTGAAGATGAAGAAGAGCAGCGACGTGGCGTTCACCCCGCTGCAGAACTCGGACAATTCGGGCTCGGTGCAAGGACTGGCTCCAGGCTTGCCGTCGGGGTCCGTAGCCGAGGACACGGAGGCGGCCGGAGGCGGCTGCTGTCCGGACGGCGGCGGCTGCTCGCGCTGCTGCTGCTGCTGCGCGGGGAGCGGCGGCTCGGCGGGCTCGGGCGGCTCCAGCGGCGGCGGCCCGGGCGGTGGGGCGGGCTCGGCGGCGCTGTGCCTGCGCCTGGGCAGGGAGCAGCGGCGCTACTCGCTGTGGGACTGCCTCTGGATCCTGGCCGCCGTGGCCGTGTACTTCGCGGATGTAGGAACGGACATCTGGCTTGCCGTGGACTACTACCTGCGCGGTCAGCGCTGGTGGTTTGGGCTCACCCTCTTCTTCGTAGTGCTGGGCTCGCTCTCTGTGCAAGTGTTCAGCTTCCGCTGGTTTGTGCACGATTTCAGCACCGAGGACGGCGCCACGACCACAGCCTCCAGCTGCCAGCAACCAGGAGCCGATTGCAAAACGGTGGTCAGCAGTGGGTCTGCAGTTGGGGAAGGCGAGGCTCGTCCTTCCACGCCGCAGAGGCAAGCATCCAACGCCAGCAAGAGCAACATCGCCGCCACCAACAGCGGCAGCAACAGCAACGGGGCCACCCGGACCAGCGGCAAACACAGGTCTGCGTCCTGTTCCTTCTGCATCTGGCTCCTGCAGTCACTCATCCACATCTTGCAGCTCGGGCAGATCTGGAGGTACTGTATCAGGGTGGGGATTGAGGGGGCCTACTGCTGTTCCTACATGCCTGTCTACCATGTCCACTGTTCTGCTTTTGCATGAAATCTTCCATAATGATTAGTAAATCAAGTCACTCTTTTGAGTTTTTTCTTTTCTAAACTGCTCCCTACCTAACTCAGGTTAGGTGAGGGAAAAGAAGCCAAGGAAGGGCACGAGCGTGTTTGTGGTCTGTCATGCTTCCCATCTTCGCACAGACTCACTAGTGTCTCTGTATATGCTACAAGTTCTTCCCAGATTGTAGACTTATTTCAGTAGTAGAAGATTCCACTCACACTTTGTAAAAAAACATGTAGAATTTGTAGTGTGTTATACTTTGGATGGTTTCCTTTGTGCCGGGGGTGGGTAGGATTACAATTCCAATTAAATAGGAATTGTTACTACTCAAAGGTGCCCACACTTAGATGATAACTGCTAAAGAAGTACCGAGCTCAAAGTAGTGTTAATAAATATTTGGCGTATATATGTATATATAATGACTCAACATATATCATTTTATGTAGTGTTTGTGTGTGTGTGTGCCCATGCACACACACACACACACACTCACACACACACAAGTGAACAGACTTTAACAGACCATGATGTATATAGTGCACTTCTGATAACCTTGCAGCATCCCTATGTCTACTTTCACATGTCACTGAGAACCTTTAGAAATCGGGTAGCAAGCACGTTTGGTAAACTTTAATTGTGCATTTTCATTGGCTGATTTGCTGCTTATCACTTGATTCACCAAGTCTCTTTACATAGCTGTCACTTTGCTTATACACTGAAGTACAAGACTAAACTTGTTGGGCAGGGTGGAGCCATCAAGGCATCACTGCACAGATGTAGGAATATGGCGGGACAATATGCTGAGAAATCTGTTCTTTTGACTTCTCTGTGTTTAGAAGCTTTGGAACACAATGTTTAACACATTAAAAAATATGTGTGTAGAAGAATATAGAGGCTGTTACTCTAGAGGCTCCTTGGTTTTAAAGCAGCTTAGTAAATATGTAGTGTAATATGTGGAAACTTCCTACCAAGTGGACTGATACTGGCCAGTATTCTACACTTTGACCTATAGGGTTTTTCTTTTTTTTTTTTTTATGATGAAAGACATTGTAAACCATTGGCACAATGAAATAACCCACAAAGAAGCATCTCAGGGCATTTGTAGCATAGATTCACACACTTCTTTTTCCTTCTGGCGAACAGTGGTGTCCTAATCTGAGGAGAATAAGTGTAGTAAGCCCATTGCTCTTGATAGAAAGAATATTTGTAAAGCAGGGAGAGCATGGCCTTAGACATCTTGCTTTAGAAAGTTAGAGAAGATACTTTCTGGTAAACTGATGCATGGTGTACTGTCAGACAAGCTGATGTGGAAACATCTGTATTTCAGACCCAGGGAGACTTTCGAAAGCATCAGTTAACTGTGGCATCTCAATTTACTACAGACAAGTATTGGAAGGCCCAGGTTGGATATTCTTCTTTAATCATGAGGAAGAACTAGGATTATTTAAGTACTGAAGTTATTTAGTGGCTCCGATGTGCAGGATTAGCACTTTTAATCTAGCACTGTGACACCGAAAACTTGCCGACCTATTTGGTAACTTGTGCAAACTTTATAAGAGATTCTGAGATCACTTCCTTTTAATTATCTGTAAATTAGCAATATAAGTACTTATTAGTTATAGTCACTGAACACCTGTGCATGCCTCCTACAGATTGACATTTTCTGAAATGTACGTGGTGTCAAACTCGGTGAACTGAAGAAGTCATCTTAATTATAATGTTTATTAGACTTCCGAATCTAAACAGTTTCTGAATTGAAAATACTGCCTCATCTTTTCAGAAAATTATGTTGAGAAAGTGAAAAGTAGGAAAACATGTGGAGAAAAATATCACAATGACACAATAGCCACTGGGTCAGTTGGTCTGATGGACCCATGAGGGACAAAGGGCGAACAGGAGGGTTAAACATAGAAAGGAGACCACAGGCTGTCAGACAAGTGCATTGCTGGCTGAACCTTAGAGGAACACGTGCCTCTCTTTTTGTTTAGATCCTTACAAAGTATTCCTGAGAGACGCTGAGGTTTATTTTGATAATAGGCTCATCTGAGTTGAACTGTTCTTTTTGGAACTATCAGGCCTTTGCCATCACTGTCTGATGAGATGTTTAGTGTGGAAATCTGAATTGCTGTACATCCCATTATTTTGTTATGCTTAAAATATATGAGGAACCTCATAGTAATCTTGTACACTGTCATCTGAAAATAGCCTCTTTATTTTTTGAAGATATGTTCCTAAATTTCTTTGACTGAACGTAGGTAACTGTAAAGAATGAGAAAGAATGTGAAATTCAGTACTCAGATGCTTTTTTGATATGTTCCAGTTTCTCCATGTTATACATTTGAATAGAACTTTGTGAGGGGGAGGGCATGTACCTTTCATAATAAGTAGTAAAAAGTGACTCACCTAAGATTATTGTATTAAATCCAGTGTTATATCTTTGACCACCACACATTTTTAAATTAGAAGTATTCCAGGTCTACTTTTCAAAACATTCTATCCAAATACTGCACTAACACCAGGGTACTGAGTGTTCTAAGGCTCAGAGGTCATTATTCATGTTTTAACGTGTTGCTTTCTTGAAGGAGATAGGTTTTTATCGAGGTTGCTAACCTTTCATTGCATTATCATGAAACTGTAGCTATTTTAGGAAAGGATCAGAGTCTAAAATCTTTCTTTAGTTAAAATCTTTTAAAATAACAACCATGTGTTTGTTCTGAAATAAGCCACTTGGATCATTGTGCAAAAATTTGCATGTGTTATACATGTATTATGAATACAACTGCTAAAAGCAATGATACATGTTCATTTTAATTAAAGTTTACTAATGGGAAATTAATGAAAGCTTTTAAAGTCATAGGAGGTAGTGCTGGGAATGAGCCATGCAAAATAATGAAGTGAGCTTTTGCTACCACGGGGAAAGACCAGCCATAGCTTTAAGGAACTGTGCTTGCAAATGAATGAGAGCATGCACTTTATCATTCTCTTTATATAATTTCAGAATGATTAAGTGCATATCAACCAGTGGGAATCATGAATGGCACATCTGTTAACTCTGCCTTTAATGATATGGTCTACAAAGGAAAAAGTTATTCTGTGCCATTCCTAAGCCTGGGTTAAAACAGTGATGGTAATATTGTTGGAAAATGGTAAATTCTCACCTTCTAATCTCCTAAGTTTACAGTAAATTGGAAGGGACCAGTCAGCATCTCTTTGTATAAGAGAATTGGCTTAGAATGATTATGTATTTTCCAGGGTCACTCTGATAACTCACATCACACCTAGCATTCAGAACCACATTGTCTTACTCTAAAGTTGATGTTCTCTCTGAATTAGTTGGCTAACTCCCTGTGTCTACTAGGATGATAATGACAACAGTCTGTGAAAATGATGATTTACTGCTCTGAGGTTGGAAGGTAGAAAGGGAGTTGCAGTTTAGATAGGTGGAGGGGTCTTTTCAGTAGACACACATCAGATAAGGACAGACTAGAGACATGTGCTCACAGTCCAAGTCCTGCACTACTCTGGCTACTTCACTGGGCTGTTTCATAACATGATTCTATGATAGCTCTTACGATTAGGTGGTACAATGTTTAAGAATATGCAAGTAGCAATTGCAAACAATATTGGTACTAGAGATAAGAAAGATGTAGGAGACAGAACAAGGACACACTGAACTTCTAAAATATGTGCTTTAATTATTCAGCATTAGTCTTGAATCCTGACAATATTGATGCCATTTACTGGTTAATTGAATTACTACTTTTTGTATATTTGTGTTCCTTCTTTGTGCATACATATAATTTTATTTAATCAACCTATATTTAATATCTACAATGTGGAAAGGCACTGTTCTAGATACTAACTTTCCTAAGGTGAATAAAATATACATTGTGGTATCTGCCTTCTCATGTGGAAGACAGAATATACACAAAATACATCAAAATAAGTTTAGTCTTCTGGTAGAAAAAAGAAATTCAAACAACCTTGATCTTTCATGTGAGGCAGGAGATGTCTTTATAAAAGTTTAAATGATGAGAAAACATTATGATTCACTTTATAGCCTTGAGTACCACAAAGCATAAATGCTGATCCAAAGAAATGATCAGGATACTCTGTGTGCCCCCAAACGCAGAGTTGGGGAGAGTATCTAGAGAAAGACTGAATAATTTTTTGTATTAGGTAATGAAAAGGAACAAGATTTTATTCTGAAGTCAAGGAAGAACCTTTGAAGGATTATAAAGGACAGGGCCTTGCAAATGTGCTACAACATTGTTTTATTCGAAGCAATTTTTCACAGTTGAAAGTCTCAGAAGAGATATCATTATTTCTTCTGATTCAACAATGTCTCTTCCATTCATAAAATACTTGAACCTCACAGGGCTTGATTTTGGGTATTATTGAAGCATATAAAGAAATCCCCATATATTGAAGGGTTATTTCTTAAAAAAAAAAAAGACTGTTTAGCTTTGTCTATACAAAATACAAAGGAAAGCTCTGTATCTAAATGCATTTGGGTGTTTGCTGTTGTTGTTTTAAAGAACTTTTCCCCTAGGATATGGTAGGATATTGCGGATTTACTTTATATGATTTGCATTTCTTGATCTGTTAGGAGCAATTTTGCCTAAAAACCTTGTTCTATTATTTTTGTTTGGTCCTCAACTAATGTTTGAGGTAGTACATCCATTTTACATACATGGACATTGAAACAGAGAATTCTACATATTATCCTCTGTAGGGCACACGGTTTTGTGTAGATTCTAGATTTTAATATTCCCAGTTGCGGGGAGCAAGCTAAAATTCATCAGCAAAGATGAGGGTGATGAATGAAGTACAAAAGAAGTAGGAAAATCTGAGGGTGCTCCAATGAGAGGTAAAGAATTCTCATGGAAAGAGATGAACACAT